TGTCCGCTCAGGCTGATGTTACCACAAGTGAGCCCTTTAAGCCGCGTTATCCGGTCTATTACGAATATGAGACACCGACCATACCGCCCGGTAGTGATGATTCCAATGAATCCGACACATAAAACATCCCCTCCAAAAAACAAAAACCAAAAACCAAATTGTTTACAAAAAACTGCAAAAAGAACCAAAGCAAAAGAAAAAAAAAAAGAAAACGAAAACAATTGAATGAATGGCTGAGTGGCATTTTCTACAGCAAATTCTTATTTTATTCCACTTCTCAAAAGTAGTTAGAAAATTGTTCGTTAATCTTTTGTATTCTGTTAAAGTATTGAGAAAGAGAATGTCCATCTGAAATGGTCTTTTGACAGTCAGTTATCCTTGTCTGCTTGAACATCTTTCCAACTGTCTATATTTGTCTGATATTCACAAACATTTATGAGGTGATTTGTCTAGCTCTTATCTATTCTTTCTACAAGAACCTCATCTGTCCGTCTGCTTTGCTATTGCTTCCTATATTTTTGTAGACCTTCAGAGTGCTTTCTTCCGAGCCCTTTTTCCGTCCTGTCCTGTCCAAAATCTTCCTGTATTGTAATCTCTTTACTTATCAGAATATTACTTACTCAAATATCATATTTAATATTTATTCGTCTTCTTATTACAAATGAAATTCTGTAATACATTAAATTGCACGTATTATCATATTTATAATTACATTTAAATATACAATTGTCCAAGTATTTATTCCCTTCAATTAACAACAAATTATTGTGCATTTGCTTCAAATGTTTCCATTATTTCCATTACATATATTTCAATGACAAATACTTAAATATTAAACATTTTAGTTTAAAGATTTAAATTTGAATTTAAATTGATATCAAATATATATATATATATATATATTTAAAAAAAAACAACTATCATTATAGTGAGAGCGATGCTTTCTTTGAGCATTGTTAAAACCTTAAGCTGAATATATAATAACCGATTTATGATATAAGAATTGCAACATACATATATTTATATATCTTTTTACTCAACTTTCATCTTTTCTTACTATGCATTTTTCTAATAATTAGATGTAAGCCAACTGCAAGGGTTTTTCAAAAATGTGCTTAACTTGTAAATTTGTTCTCTTGTTACCGCTCCCCACAACATGCAACAATTTTTGTACCGTCCTTAACCGACCACGACCACACCCTCAACGACACCTCAACGTCTGCTTCTGAACTCTGATATATGATCCTGATCCTAATACAGAGACGCTTTACGATGAGGCCAATGCTCAGCTGCGCCTCGCCCTGAACCCGGATTCGGCAACGGAGATGGCGACAGCAGCAATGATGGATGAGGAGGTGAACACCAGCACACCGGCGGGAGCAGAGCTATCCTTTAGCTATGAAAAGAAATGAATAAACAAAAGGAAACACCAAACAACAATTACATATTTACTCGTAATCAAAATAATATAAAAGAAAACGGATCAGATTGGAGATCGGAGATGAAAAACGAACATTTTTATAGAATCAAAATCAAATAGAAGAAATATAGTATATAAATATATTTTGCAGCAGTAAAATCTATCTAGAATAAACCAATTTGAATATGATTTTTATTTTCCTAAATTATTTAATCTATATATTCTAACTATGCTTTCTAACCTTGACTTTAAAGTATGCTTAAATTGCACATTACACCTCGATTCTTGTCTTCCTTTTCTTTCTTGTCTCAACATAAAGAATGGCGTTTCTCATGCATTTCTTTTATCAAATTAAATACAAGATGTCAAAAATGTCAAAAAATATTGATATACAGTGAGCACTGGCCACAAATATATATGAATGAAAAAACGTAGTCAAATCATAGAACAAAACACTCTTTCTAGGCCTAAGCTAATCGATAAACCAGAACCCAAAACCGAAGAAAAAACTACAAATAATATACGAAATTAACATTTTCCAAATATTCAATTTAACGAATATTAACAAAAGAAATATATATGAGAAATTTACACAAAATTTAGCCAAATTCTTCAACGTTTATTTATAATTTCTCATGAAGAATTTTTAGTTGTAGCATCATCATAACCTTTTGGGTGTCTAAACATAAATATTATACACATTATTGAGAAAATATAAAATATGTATACAGAAAGTGAAGTGTCTTTTGCTCTACCTTTATATTTCGATTGTGTGACTCCGTACACAATATATACTTTGTACTTCCCTTGATTTTCAAAAGCCTGCCTAACCAGAAATCATATAAGTATATTTCTAAGTCTTATCTGTCTTCAATTCGATTAAATCCAAAGTCAATAAAGCAACACACATACATACATATATGTATATGTACTATACCCTAAACAAGAGAAAATTGTATTCCTAGAGTTCGTTGGATTCTCCTTCGTGTTTTTGGGGGGGGCAATCATTTCATTTGTAGCGCCAGAGACAGATATCTCAAACCCTAAGCCAAGTCGTAAACGTAATTTATCTTTATTTCCAGTCCAGCCAAAACAGACGTCGACCCACAAAATCACAAAAAGTAACAACAAAATCTGTTGTACGCGTAAGTACAATTGTGACATGTGGATAGTGTTTTCAGAGCTCCATCAGAGGCCCCAAGTTGTCGCAGTCACTTGTCAGCCGCCTGTCGACGCGGCCGCACTTCGATTCGCCACAATATTCTCTCCGAACATTCTCAATCGCGTGTGGCAAAAATAACTTACAGTTCGTTTGTTAATGAAATGAAATTTTCCAAGCGATTGACCAGGAAAATGCCAATAATTTGTGTATTTCATTTATCGCGTGCCGCTGCCGTGTACTACACTGGCGAACAAATTTCGGGCTCCCTCACAATTAAAGTGGAAGGCAAGAAGCCTGTTCCCGTGGAGGGTAAGTGGCAGCTGCCATTAGGCAAATTAGTTTGTTTTATTTCTGTTGAGATTTGCTGCTTTCGTGAGTGATTAGATAAGAACAGATAATTGGAGGCCATCGTCCGTACTGATCGCCTACCTTTCGCAGGTATCAGCATCACCCTCTGTGGCATTAGCAATGTGCACTGGCTGGAGTCCCTGGGTGGACCACCACAAATTGAACATAATGACAGCTCCAGGAGCTGCGTGGAGCCAACCAAAGTGGACTACAAAGCCAGAAAAGTTCACATAAATCAAGTAAAGAAGTTGACTGGTGTACAACGCCTACTTCCGGGCACAACTCAACTGTGGAACTTTGACTTTGAACTTCCCGACAGTCTGCCAGCCACTTGTCGAGTGGGTCATGGCTCTGTCGAGTATACCCTCCAAGTGATTATCGAACGAAGAAGCAAACATTTCAAGTGCTTCACGCAGCGTTTGGTCATTCGAAGAAGCCTTGCATTTACAGATCTCAAACCGAAAATGAAACAGGATTCACTACTGAGACTTTCCATACCAAGAAGTGTCTTTGTGCCAGGTCAAAGTGTTGCCTATGAAGTTACATCAAAGGATGGCTCTGCTGCCATCACACGCTTGTGCCAGTGTATCAAATATGAGAGTCACACTCCTCAAAGAAAGACAAAACAAGTGATACGTTGCCTATCAGAGTGCTCTGAGCTTCAAGCCGAACTTCGTCTGCCTTTGACCTCTCCAATTATGACTGATGAAAGGCAGCCACAGTCCATAGAAATCAGCTATTACATTGAGACTCTTGAGAGCCACCTAAAAAAACCTCTAAGGCAGCCAATTAGTGTGGGAACTTCAGCACCACCTGCCATTTCTACCATTGAATCGTCGCGTCTTTGTTTTGTGAATTTGGGTGAGTATTCACCCCACACCACTTGTGTAATGATATCATTAAGCCTGGTCTAATTTAAGCCTTGAGTCAAAGTGAATTGTTTGAGCCAATTAACCAGCTGCTGGCCCACAGCTGCTACTCCCATGAAAGTGGCGCTCTGGCAATGGGCAAACACTGTGAACGGATTAAATTACTGAAATGCCACAAGAAACGCTCGTATGTGCAATTGTTGATGCGGTATTGCTATAAAAGATTGCTGCCCTAGCACGTGCCTGACTGGACAATATCACTAATAATTTTATTAAATGTTGAATGTCTCGGAATTTCCATGCTTATAGTGATAAACGTTTGCAAATTAATGGAATTTAAATTGAGCCAAAGTGAGGGAATAACCAAAGAATGGGGAATCGACTGTGGAGTTTCCCATTTAACTCAGAATCTCATTCTCTACTTCGTAATGAATCTTATTGTCACTCCATTAACAGTCTATAAAAGTAACCAGCATCTCATACTCCCCTTAGAGATAATCACGTATCTCATCTTTCATCCGTTGCTTGTCTTTTACACCTCTCCCAGCATCAAACCCACGCCTTAATCCCCTCTCCACTTCATTATCACAATTATGCATGCAAAATTAATGGAGCAAACCACCCAAAAAGATGGCGAGGTCTTAATTGTGCCACATAATGTGACAACAAAATGGTCGAACGGGTTGAGAGCCAACACCCAAACATCCCAGTAAAGTACTTTGTTGTGACGCACTTTGATTGCTTTTGTGTTTGGTCAAGAGTTGATGTATGGTAATGCTCGTCGCATGTAGGCAGATATTGGCTCCTGACCTCGCCAGTATCCGCCCCGTTGCGTTTTGGGCCATGTGGCTCAACAAAGGAAACCGAAAGGAGAGACAGAGACAGAGAAAGAGCCATTTCCGAGCGATTCGCGTTGAAATATTAGACCAGAAGCAGACAGTAGACACAGGCTGCACAGACGCAAGGCGCCAACTTATTGATTCGTTGTGTCTCCGCCACCAGTCCGCCAATCCTGCCCCAAACCCCCGAAAAAGAGAAAGCCCGAAAGACGATGGTGGTGGCGGCAGTGGCGGATGCTGTATGCCAACACAAAGAGGTCCGTGCCGGAGAGAGAGTTCAGTGCGCGTCTGGCTGTGTGGAAGTTGGGTTCGTCTCTCTGCGGCTTTTTCTTTTGTTGATTTCCTTTCGAATGCAGTGGAAGTGAAAATTGTGAAGCGCAGCCATAGCCATGCCCACCACCTGTGTTTTTCAGCTGGATCGCCTGAATCCCATCTACAACAGCGGCGAGTACATAAGCGGACGCATTCTGCTACGAACGGACAAGGTGAAGCGTGTCAATGGTGAGCCGTACACATATCATAAAGGAATATAAAAGGCACATAAAGGCTCTACAATAAACTACATTAACTTCCCAGCGGTTCATGTGACACTGGAGGGCGAGGCCAAGGTTCAATGGACAATGAGCGGGAAGAGTGAAACGGCCAACTATTCGGGCCATCAGCAATACTTACACTCCCGCACCAATGTCTTTGACAACACCCTGTTCCGTGCTGGCGTCCATGTCTATGTCCTGACACTGCGCATCCCACCCGACTGTCCGAGCAGCTGCAAGGGTCCCTATGGCTACATTGCCTATACCATCTCCCTGACTATCGACAAGCCCTGGGGATTCGATGAGGTCTTTCGCAAGCCAATCACAGTGGTGCAGACACTGGACCTTAACTTCAATACAGAATTTGCGGTGGGTTCATTGAACTCTGGAGTGTTTTCTGTAACATCTAAAACTCCATTTGTCTGCAGCTACCCGTCAAGGATGAGAACGTCAAATATCTTTGTCATTGGCCCTGCGTTTCGGGTCCGATTTGCTCCACCCTGGCACTACCTGCCTCTGGGTTTACGCCCTTGCAGGAGGTGCCCTTCCGCCTGGAAGTGGACAATCAATCGCCGCACTACGACATCATCGGCGTGGAGGTATCCATCAAGCAGCACTTTGTCTTTCTCTCTCGCAAACCCGTGAAGCGAAACTTCTTTACCAAAACTCTGACCAAGGAACTGATCACGGATCGCACCCTGCGGCTGTCCAAGCGGCAGTATGAGTCCAACATCTGTGTGCCCATGGATACGCCCCGTTCCACCCTGAATCCCAATTACATTGTCTTTCTGCACTACACACTGCAGGTGAAGCTAAAGACAGGCTGCTTTCACTACGACACGGATTTGTCCGTGCCCATTATTGTGGGCACCACATCGCTGCAGCACTTGCGTAGCTCTGTCCACACCACACAACCGACGGCGAGGACAACGACCCCGGAGAGGCAGCGACTGATAGAGCGAGTGTCACCCCGTCCGCCAGTGCTGGCCGAGGAAGAGGAAACGATCCCGGAGGCGGCTTCGGATCCACATCAGGGAATAGATGATGATGAGCCGCCGTCGTACGATAGTTGCTGTGAGTATGAAGCAATCGAAGAGTGGTTTTCGTATCTAACTTTCCTCTCTATTTCCCATGCAGTGCCACCATCCTTCAGCTTTGCCACTCTTGCAGGCAGTCAACAGACCTTGGAAAGTCATGGTGGCCAGCATGTGGTCCTCCATCAAATCCATCTGCCCAAATTTCCAGGATTCAGCACCTTCATAGGTCCAGCCCCGGCACAGGGCATGGAGGATTCCGGTCTGGACATGCAGCTGTATCGGTCGTATGGCTCATTGAACACCGATCAAACGGGTCGCAGTCTGGACACCTTTGGCTCCCTGTGTGGTCCACTGTCCGAACAAGTAGAACTAGAGGCTGAGCATGCAAACGAAGTGCAGGTGGAGGTGGAGGTGGAGCCAGCACAAGTTCATCAGCCACGTCCACGCCCACGGCAGATAGAGGCCATTCAGGATGAGCATCTGTTTTAGGAATAAAAGTGTCTTAAAATGATCATTGGATCAATAGATCGTACATAGCGATATACGTATTAACATCCTAAGTAACATAAGTGTTCAAACCAAAAGGCTTAAACCATAAATCTATTTTTTAGGGTGTATCCGAGTAAGTCGTACTAGGATTAGAGAGCGAATCGAACTTAATTAAAGTGCCAAAAACATACATTTTTCTAGCATAGTATACTCATTGCTTTTTTACATCCAAGTATATTCGATTTATTACATTTACCACAATAATTATCCTAAGTACAGACTAAATCGTTCAGCAAATGGACAATAAATATATAGATATATATATATATGCAAACCTTTACCTACAAATCAATTTGTTAATTGGATCGTCCTTGAATCGTTAGTGGAAGCGGGACTCTCGCCCCGTATGTATGCTACACCTGACACTCGATGTAATGCATTTTAATTAAATTATAAATTGTTGGCCAAAAGCGATAAGGGAATGACAGTGGAGTCCAAGACTCCGCGTTGGTGATTAGATAGAGGCGATAATAACCATGGTATCTCTGGTAGCATTCACACCTCGTATAGTATAACCGATAAGACCTGAATAGTTCGGCTGATTTAATGGGCGAACATATTGTCGACAAGTGGCAGACATCACCGAACAGTCGTCGAGTCAAGAGAGTCAATAGACAGACAGAATGAACCACCGCTGTGACATGCAATTGGATAGCCCCAGTGGGGTCTATCGAGCCGGGGAGACAGTTAATGGCCACATATACCTAACCCTAACGGAGCGTGCCCTAATAAAAGGTAAGAACCCATTCTGGGTGACTCATGGGGGTACTCCTCCAATGATAAGACCCGTCAAGTGCGTTGTGAGTCACCGTGGATCAAGATCAAGTTCCATGGCTGATAAAGAGTGAAAGTGGCTTTATATATTGATTATCAAGGTTGATAACCTTATCATTGTTTAGCGCCGAGTCTATCAAAGTGCTTAGTTTTGTTGTATTAATTTTGCAGCCGTTTCCCTGGAGGCAAATGGATTTGCACTCATTGAATGGCTGAAGGCCCAAAAGGCAGGAAAACCCAAGAAGTCCGACCAGAAAAATGTTCAGGTGGAAAAGCAGCCTCTAGCTTTTGAGAATCGTGTGGACTATTTTGCCAAAATCGATTACTTTGTGGGATCGGAGGCGGCCCAGCCACAGCTCATGGAGGCCGGCACCTACAGCTATGGTTTCCATGTGAAGCTGCCCAAGAATTGCCCCAGCAGCTACGAGGGGCCCCATGGACACATTCGATACACTTTGCAGCTGCTCATTCACAGCAGTGCGGATCGACCCATAGATGTGATTCACACTCGCCAGCTGCAGGTGTACTCCGAGAGCGAACTGTGCAAGGAGTCTAGAAGAGGCGAGGTACAGTGCCTGGAGCAGACGCCACGGATGAAGTTCTGGCAGAGACCCCTGCAGCTGCATCTGCAGATCCCTCGCCAGGGATATTCCCCTGGGGCGGGTATATCAGTGCATGTGAAGCTGCACAATCCCCAGCAGCTGCCGCTCAAGGAGGTCGTCTACAAGCTCAATATGGTCAGCACCTATGTGGGCCTGCAGAGGAACAAGCCAAAGCGCCGCGATATCAAAGTAGAGAGGCAAACCCTTCTGAGCAGCGGCCACGAGCTGGTCAGCCTGCCCCGCAGCGAACTGGAGCATTTCCAACATCTTCATATGCTCCAAGTGCCACAGACGCCGGCCACATTATCCTCGGCGGCCTGCGCCTGCCTGCAGATCAACTACGAGGTAGAAGTCCTGGTGCGCACGCAGCAGGAGAAGCGCTCCATCATGGCACAAATTCCCCTTACCATCGGCAATGTGACGCCACCCTGTCCGAACGCCATCCGGTCAATGGATCCCCTGGTAGACTCAGCCCCGGAACAGTCGCCCACGCCGGGCACAGCCACGAAATTGGCTCCCGACTTTAGCGTTTCCATGACCTCATTGGGTATGTTGTCTATTTTGATTTTGATTGATTTAAGGCATGTTAATGTTCACCCTCTTCACACTACCTTTTTATAGCCTCCAATTTTCGCGAAGCGGAATTTATGACGGCCACCAATTTAAACAAAACCAACAAGCATGCTCTGTCCGGGGAGAATCTGGACTTTAGGCCACGCTATCTGTACTATGAACTGGACCAGAACCAGGCCCAGGAAGAAGTTGCAGCCCATTGAGTGGGGAGTGTACTTATTCACATATAATTTATTTTAACAATAAGGAAATTCATTTGAAATTGTGATTACTCGTACAAATATATGTGCTTATATTTGAGAGTGTTCGTATTCCAAAATATACCTAAACAATATGAAATGTTGCTTTTTTAGCATTTTGTGGGAGTATATCTTTTCCTGACACGTGTTGTGAGTCTTAATTGGTCTTAATTATCATTGATCATAGTGCATACAAATGTTCTTATAAGTACATAAAATCATTTAAACTAAAACAAAATAAACATTATAATTGAGAGCGTTTAAAGCGTTTTTTTGCATACCTAAGGGCGTATTAAAGGCTAAAAAAAATATCTTAAAATGGATCGCCCGACAATCAAGATTCTTATTTATCACAAATTCTGACTGAGGTAGGCTCCTATGTATTGGCAGTCCAACCATAAGATGTACCACTTTCTGTGGCTCCATTCGAGCTCTCTGCATTAGGTGGGGCAGTCGCGCCATGGGGCAGGGACAGAATAGGTACATCAGAGGAGAGCGGGGATTCGTTCGATTCTGGCGGTGCCGTGGGCTGGGCAAAGTTCGTGTACATGGGATAGCGGGGTATGAAGTCATTCGTAGGATTTTGCTCGTCCACGTCCGTGTCGATGAACCTGTCGCCAAGGTTTGTGGCCTCTTCAAAGGTGGGCGGCTCTGAGGACAAAAAAAAAAAGAATTAGCTACAAAAATATCAGAAAAACAAGGAATCAATCGGAACTTACTGCAATTCTCATAGCTAGGTGGCATATCCCCACCAGTCGCTCCCGCTGGTGTGTCGGGCGTATGCGGTATCCATTCGGCCACATGTGTGGGATCCTCAGCGCTCTGCGCTAGTGGTATGGTGCCAATCACAATGGGAACATCGAACTCAGAGTCCATGTGGCAGTCGCCCATTTTGATTGAAAAGAGTACCCTGTAGCTGATGGCTATGATGGAGTCAGTCCTAGTGGTGGGCGGCACTGACGGAATGAGCAAGGTGCCACTGATGACGCGCTTGGAGAAACGCAGCACTCGCTCTCCTTTGCAGCAGCCATAGAGTCTCTTGTCGATATCGCGCGTCTTGTAATGCGGAGTTTGGGCCTTGAACAGGCTTACTTGTTTCAGCTGCAGCTCGAAGCCATCCAAATCATAGGCACCCGACTTGTTGTCTATCTCCAGGCTATAGTGAATCTTCTGGCCGGGCGCATAGCCACCAAACGGTATGGTGAGGGTGGACAGAACCGGTCCTGATGTGCAGGGCCAACAGCAGAAATACTTAACATCCTCGCGAACTAGGGGTATCTACAGAATGCAGGAATGCATTAGTGGATTGATCAGATCTCTAAATGCATATTCTCACCAACAAATCTGGGGAAATATTTAGGTTGTAGGTTTGAATCACCGTCAGTGGCTGCTTAAAGTCCTTATTGAAGCCCCACTGCTTGTCGATGACTAACGAGATCTCATAGAAGATCTTTCCGTATTTCATATCGCACGATGTCGGGCAATCCAGTGGCAGGGGTATGCAGAAGGTGTACTGGTGGTCGCCAGAAGGCAGATCCCCCGATCCGAACACTTGGGTGCGGGTTCTCAAATACGTTTGCTTGCCCCGATAATTCTCAGTGTAATGTTGCGTCTTGCCATTGCTGGTCCTCGTCTTGTGTTCGTTCCAACTCACTTTTGCCTCGCCACGAAAGAGTATATAGACCTCTGTAAGAGAGAGAAAAGTAAATCAAATTAAATCAACACATACACAGGGCACATTCGATAACGGGATTAAAACTAATTTGAAGCATGTTTCCAGTTGGTTTTCGCAAAATGAAGAGCAACAAGTAAAATCAAATGTTCTTGCTTTGGTGTTTTCCCTTGCGCGAGGCAACACTGTACACAAATTTTTATTGACTGTTCCTCTTTGTGCTTCCTATTCCGCCGGCTGGCGTTCTGTTTGATTCGTTTCGTTTCGTGCGTCGACATGCAAACAGTGGGATGAATGTCAATAAACTTTGCATTCAAGCCAAGGAACCAATTATAAGTGGTTAGAGCTTTCATCAATCCCACTGTACCATGACACATTTCAACTTGTTGCTTGAGCAATTTCGAATAATAATTATCTTTGTAAATACATACATATGTATGTACATACATACATTTATTCTAAGCTTTTTCGGAAATAGAAAGTATTTTGATGTGTAATAGGGTGCTCCCTAGGCTCACAAAGTCATAAAACTATAAGGAATTCCCTATAGACATAGAAACGTAATCATTCATATCGTAATCTGGTAACGGGTTTTCACTTGTTAACATTCTTTTAAACCGGTTTTTATAGCTTTTTACACACAAGCTTCATAGAAACTATTCTTATCACTTTAACGATAAGGCAGAACACCATTAAATCAGGGTTTGTTTGTTGTCTTGACTCATAATAGTTATCGTCTTACCATTCACCGACTTGTTGGAGTCTGTATGGAGATTAATGCGTCCATTGATTACCTCTCCGCTATAGTAAATTGGATCACGGTGATCCAGGTCGAATGTGCACACTGATGGCATTTTGGCCTTTAAATTCAACTAAACTTAATTTTCTAATGGCGTGTCGCAAACTAATTACAAATTGTTAAAATTTTAAAGGCACATGTTTGGATTATATTTATTCTGCATGCACGCAAAAAACCCGACCAAACAACCGACGCAAACGAAACGAAAATGAAATTAAAAATGAAAAAGAGATATTGGAGCGGATTCAGAACGAATCTCTGAGAGAGGAGAGAGAGTGCTGGAGCTTTCTCTCTCTCTCTCTTTCCGCTACTGATGATGTCACGCAGCTTTGGGGCGTGTGCTTTTTCAAAGCAACGTCACATTGTGTAGTTTGTTTTTTGTTTTTACACTGATATTCTTTAGTTTTTGTTACGAATTTCGAGGTCAAGATATAAAAAAACAAAATATCTCAACAAAAAAATGATATTTTAAGCTGTCAAAAGCTCAACTATCAGAAACAGCTGCGCAAAATTGTGTGTTCGCTCTTCTAGGGTTGCCCTGGAATTCAATTATACAACTTTATTTGAGATTAAAGAAAAAAATGATATCAATGGATTTTATAAGCCCTAGGAGCTTGTATATTCTCCGTATAATTCAAACGTTAAAGTTCCATAATTTTGATATAATGCAAATATTTTTTCAACGCTTCGATAAGCTTTAATATTTTTGCTTCTGAAGAAAGAATTATTTTATCGCAGTCGTGGTAGACACGTTTATACCCTTGTTTGTTTATTTAACATTTCATAGGTGGGGGTATCTTTTGGTATATATAGTATATATAGTATGTGTAAGTTAACAGAGTGGTTAGTTCTTGGGTCTTGGGACACCGAAATACGAAGCAAAATACTGCTGAAGAGATAAGATATCGTTGTGATTTCCCGTGATAAGCGGCCCCGTCAAATCTGCACGGGAGACTCGACTGGCTGCTTCTCCAGCTGTTGCTTCTCCGGATTTGCTGTGTTTTGATGGCCCGGTTCGGCGGGTCTCCGGCGACGACGACGCCGTTTCTTCTGGGGCGGATTTGGTGGTGGCGTCTGGAAGGTGTCCACGTCGAAGACGGGATAACGTGGCGTAAACTGAGAGGCTTCGCTGACGGTATTGGCATCTGTGTCGGCGATATCGGTGGACATAAAAATCGCCTGTTCGTATGTTGGAGGAGCTGTGGGGATAACAAATGAATGAAGATATTTTTGGGAATCGTTCAATGGGACCTACGTAAATCGGCGACAAATTCATCTGATGTGTCCAGCTCATCATCGCCATCCTCTGGCAGTTCGAAATCTTCCAGTGACTCGCTCCGCTCGTATCCAGAATTATTGACTCCTCCCATTCCCATTTGTGCGAGTTCCATTGCTCGGGTGGATGTGCAGGGCAAATCCGATGGAAGCGGAGTCTCTGGGAACGAAGGACCCGCTGTGGACAGAGGGACATTCCCAATGGTAATGGGTATTACGACCCTTGGGTTGGACATCAACCAGTTCATTACGGCCACCACCCGCACCTCATAGGACACTCTGACCACCTTGCTGAGGTGCTCGCAGGTGGGGGCCGTGGCCGGAATGCGCAGCGTCTCCGTGTAGATCTTCTGGGAATGATGCGCCACGGGTCCACACTCGCGCTTGACCAACATGATCTTCTCGGATGTGGTGCGCAGCGAGGGCTGATCCGCCGTGTAGGTGGCCCGCAGATGGATCATAATCAACAGCTTCTTGCAATCGGAGCTGGAGTCGTTGCGCACCTGGGCGTGGATCAGCATAAACTGTCCCGGGACATAGCCCTGCTGCTGCAGTGTCACCTTCAGTTCGACCGGATGTGTGTGCAACATGCAGAAGTATTCGAGGGCCTCATTGCTCGCCGGTTCACGGAGCATCTTGCTCTCCTGATTCAGATCCAACAGCTTGAGTACAGTGAAGCCCACATTGTGGGTGCGATTGGAGGCGCCTGCCTTCAGAAATGTGACCTTTGCCAGGTACCGTATATGTCCATAGGATCCCTCGAAGGAGGATGGGCAATGGCTGGGTATGGGACAGGCAAAGGTGTAGGTGTATGTGCCGGCGTCGATGTTGAAGCAGCTGCCCTGCTCCGATCCCATTAGATATGTGGTGGAGGCAATGTAATCCTCACGTCCACTGAACAAGTGTTTGGTTCTCTTTTTGGGATTCTGTATAGGCATGGCTTTGCCACGTCTTCGAACCCTCCACTGGGCCAAGGCATAGCCGCTGATTTGCAGTTTGATTCCTGGCAAAAAGAAGGAACTGCATTAAAACGAAATGTTTTCACTTTATCTTAAAGATAAAAGGCAGTGTCAGAATACTGCACTTAATGGATTCCACAAAAAAAAAAAAAAAAAATGACTAACACTGCCTGGCATTTCCTGAACTGAATTTCAATAAAATTAAATCACTTTTGTAGGTATAGCCCCCTACGCACACACCCTGATGTGTGGAATCATCAATTATCAAACATTTATACATTCTCCACTGTGGTTATCATTAAATTACCCATTTGAATGCTTTTTAGAAATGGTTTGGCGAAACGCCACATTATCCAAGGAGATAAGATACGCCCACCACAGATAAGTAACAGCCACTAGAACTTGTTAATAAAATGTGCAAAGGGTAGGGATCGAGTCCTGATTCCATCCTGATCTACTTACCACGCAGTTTCTTGGTTTTTGTCAGATTGACAATTACTTTTCCGGTTATCACCTGTCCGGTGAAGTAGGTACCATGCTCATTCTGATCGAATGTTATCATGCAGTTTTTGGACATTTCGACGATGGTGTTCCGCCAGCTATCCGGTTTTCCTTGTGAGAAATCCGCACACGCTCGTTGCTCAGCGAAGACTGAGGCTATCTCTGCTTTTAGCCTGGCCTATGCGCACCCGTAACAAATATTGACTGGGGCTTGGCATTATCTTATCGAGCCCACTAACTCTCTACAAAGCCCACACAAAAATGTTCTGCCTAGGGGAGTGCAAAAATACAGAGAGTCAGAGAGAGTGAGAGTTAAGTTTTGAGTGGAAATTTGTCTGGGAAAATTGAATAGACTCAATGAGGGTGAACTAAGCCCCCTGATAATTTATATATATATTTATATGGCTATCTCGGGAGGCACCATCAATCTTTTTCCTCATATCATTTCATGTCCAGCAGTTACACATGTAAATACTTCTATGGAAGTATAATAAAATAACTGTTTAAATACATAAATAATTATCGCATTGATAAGATAAAAAAACACAGACAAAATATGTTGGCCAAAAAGTGAAATATAAATAATGCCAGAGGTTGTCTTCAGTTTGCAGGTTGACGACGATACAGAAAGGCCACAGAAAATATTTTACTCGTTGCGTGATCATCGCTAGAAATCAATCCAAAGTATGGTAATCTGTGAGATACAGTTTAATAACAATACCCAGGGTATTTACTATGCCGGGCAGGTGATCTCTGGCCAAGTGGTGATCCAAACGGACAAGGTGAAACAGGTAAAAGGTGAGTCACATCTCTTTGAAGGGGAACTTTTGGTGGGTTTCCAAAAATATTTAACAAAATAATCCACTGATAAATGTCTTTTCTATATTTAGCTGTGGTTCTTACAATCAAAGGGTATGCTGAAACACATTGGACAGATCCAGAGTACGATTCGGCAGACCAATCGAGTGGCTCGTCGTTCAATGGACATGTGGATTATCTAGCCACAAAGGCGTATCTCCATGGATCGTCTTCAAGTGTTGGTAAGACTCAAAAGAGACAGAAAATATATCATTTGGAGTATAATCTATCCACTTTAGAAGTGCAAATTGATCCTGGAACTAGTACATACCGATTTGCCTGCCAAATACCCTTGACATGTCCCTCATCTTTCGAGGGCACTTATGGTCGTGTGCGTTACATTGTAAATGTTATGTTTCTACGTCCCTGGAAGTTTGATCAGAACTTTAATCGTTGTTTCACTGTGCTCAAAGTGATGGACTTGAATACGGAGAGCCTGATGTTGAGGGTACGTACATATCGGTGTAGAAATCTCCCTTAGGTTCAGATCTCTTCTGCCTTTTAGGTTCCCACTCAAGTCGAGTCCCAGAGGACGTACTGCTGTATTCCCTGCACCTCGAAGCCACTGAGTCTTCGCCTCTCCTTGCCCCAAGGTGGCTTTGTGCCAGGACAAACTATACCCATGGGTGTCCTCGTCTCCAATGACAGTCACATACAGATTGAGGATATCACCGTTCGATTGGCCATGGTGGTGATCTACTACAGTCGGCCCCCGTGTGCGGACACCAACAAGGATCGCTTTGTGGTAGCTGAGAAAACGGGGGAGGGTGTCTCGAAAAATAGTCGAAAACAATTCACGTTTGATCTGCAAGTCCCAGCCACACCGCCGACCTGCTTCAACCTTTGCAGCATCATTCAGATCGGTTATCAGGTGGAGGCTGAGGTTAAGGTCAAGGGCTGTCATTCGGGCCAAAGTGTTCATATGCCAGTGACCATAGGCAGCGTACCGCTGACCAAACAGCTGCAGAAGCAGCCCAGAACCTGGGAGGGAGATACATTGCCACCAGAAGTGGATGCCAAGGCTCTCATATTGTTGCAGGAAGAAGCAGTTGAAGCCGCAGCTTGTCCACCCAGTCCCTGGGCAGCTGATCCTTCCATAAGTGAGTAGCTGTTTGGGTGATTTCAAATTCTAGTCATTTTTGTGTGTTTATAGCTCCGCCAAACTTCAAAGAGGCCAAACACATACGACCAGATCGACAAAGGTCTTCCAAGTCAAAGAAAAAATCCCAGAAGAAGGAACACTCTGAGGAAATTGTGTACACGCCTTTGTATGCCGTATTTGAACTGAACAGTGAAATGGAAAATGCAATTGAGAGACCAAAAGGCTTTCAGACTGAAGGAGGATTTGTCAACGAGGATATCGATAGGAGCACTTGGTTGTAAGGAATATTTGTGTAATAAAATAAAATTATGATATACCTAATAAACAAAGCAACTTTATGCGTTCGTTGCTAGATTTTTACTCACAGACAAGGGGATTCATGACGTTAACAATATTTCTATCGGTGAAGCAGGTTCCTCTCTAATGTTGTTTGAGTGGAGTGAAGTGCTGTGCCTTCAAATGACTCAATCCTTCCCCCAGAAATAAAGCATTTTTCATTCGAAAAGCCAAAAACCCCCTGAGTTGGTAATTTGGTTATCTGTTCTTATCATTATTATGGGTACAACTGATAATGTTTCGTACACTTTTGTTTGTTGCTGTAAGCGAGTGGGTGTTCAATGTAAAAGAAATTTGATATTTTATTTACCAAGAATTATATTTATGATCGCTTCGATAAGATAATTCAAATCCACCATAAAAAAACACAAAAGAACTAGACAGAGGGTAGCTATCGTCAGTTCGCTATTAGCCATCGAAGAGAACACAGCCCTAAAATCTAGCCAGCTCGATTCTAAATCTAATATTATAAATCAACGATATCTTTATATTAAATCATGGGAATCATTTGCCAAATTCTATTTCATAACAATACTCATGGGGTTTATTATGCCGGACAAACTATTTTTGGTCAGGTGACGCTCAGCACGGATACATTGAGACAAGTCAAGGGTGAGTGTGGGAGCAATGAGTACTTCACATTAGATTCCTAAATAATTGCCAACCCCCTTATCAGGAATTTTTCTAAAGGTCAGAGGATTTGCCGAGACCCACTGGACAGAGAGCAGAACGGACTCGAACAACAAATCCACCTCAGAGTCGTACAGTGGATTCGAAAAATTTATGTCCAGCAAGGTGTATCTCTTTGGTTCGAGTACCAGCGCTGGTAAGATTAAAGCTTGACAGTCAAAACTCTTAACTTCATGTGCATTTAACCGTTGACAGAGTCCCCCTTTGAGCCCGGTACTAGGACATACCAATTTGCTTGCAAAATACCCTCCCATTGTCCCTCTTCGTTCGAGGGTAACATTGGTCGTATTAGCTATAGGATTGGTGTGAATATAGTCCAATCCTGGAAGTACGACAGTTTGTTCTCTCGCGCTTTCACTGTTCTGCAAACAAAGGATTTGTTCACCTATAATTCTGTGGCACACGTGAGTTTTACATAAAGAAACGTTTACTTAGTTTCTATCAACTTTTTACTTAGGTTCCAGTGCAGGCAAAGTCCGCAAAGACCTTTGGCTTCTGGCCCTTCAAGTCGGATCCCTTGAGTCTGGAGCTAACACTGCCTCAATCGATCTTTTATCCTGGCCAAATGGTGCCCCTGTCTCTTTTGGTGGGTAATGACAGCAGCATCAAGGTGCAGGAGCTAAAAGTGAGCCTGGCCATGATCGTCACTTACTTCAGCGACTTGGGTTGTGGCACGAACATGGAGCGCTTCTCCGTTGTGAAAATGAGGTCCGATGGCGTGTTGAGAAACACCCGAAAGCAATTCGAATTCCAGCTGCAAGTGCCCTCAACTCCGGCCACGTGCTTCCATCTTTGTCAAATCATCAAGATTGCCTACCAGATCGAAGTGGTGGCGAAAGTCAAGGGAATGCATGTCAATGCCACACTCTACGTGCCTGTGACCATCTGTGGTGCGCCCCAATCAGCGCATGCACGGCATGCACTGACACAGGAGAAGGAGGACGAGGAGAAGCCCCTGGTGCCAGATCCAGGAGCATTGACCTTGATTCCCAGCGATTGCCAGGAATGTGTGGAAGGTGCTGCAGGTCCAAGTGCTCCTGTCAGTCCGTGGGAGGAGGATCCTTCAATTGGTACGCTTCAATATGACATTTGTTTGCTATTGAGATAACTTTATTGATATTTTTTCTTCTACAGCTCCTCCTAGCTATTCAGAGGCCATGCACATACGTCCTGATGCAGAGAAGTCCAAGCTTATGTTAGAAGATGCCGAACCCTTGGATGGATTGCCCTATAAGCCTTTGTACCCTGTTTTTGATTCAACAACTCCAACAAAGGAGAAGCAGGAATATCAGGGAGAAGAGAAGAAGGAAGACCCCGCAGGATATTCCGAAGAGAAAAAGAAGTGAAGAAGCCACTTTTCAGATGAAGAAAACTGGAAATCTGATACACCAAATTCTAAAATATTTCAAGGGTAGCCCCCCATGAAGGATTGTGTATTTTGCACACCTTGAACAGGGTCTCTTTGTATGAAATGTGTAAGAGAATAATTCAAAATTGTGACAGAGATAAGATAAAGAAATGGAATGGCCTGGCCTGGCCTGGCCTGGCCATTGCGGCTACCAATATATGATACAATACGACTATAACCCCAGCGCAGTATTTGTTTCATTCTCAGTTTGTTTCTGGCAGCCAACCGGGCGGGTTCCCTCCACTCTTATCGCTGCTGTGCCAAAACCAGAGAGCGTGCCAAACCGATCTATTGCGGGGGAGAACCGCTTGCGGAGAGCAAATATTGTGGAAAGAACATACATAAGTTGGCATTAAAATCAAATCAGTTGTGTTACATGCTGGCCACAAGGCAATAAAAAAACAAAGATACGCAGATACAGATACTTCGAGGTTACTCCATTATGACTGTAACCTGTGAAATCGAGTTCGATAACAATCCCCATGGAACGTATTTCGGGGGCCAAGTTCTTACGGGTAGAGTTACTCTGAAGTTGGACAGAGTGAAGCTGGTGAAAGGTAGGCATGGCATTTCTTTGAATTTAACTCATGACTCATGGATCGTTTATCTTATCTCCGGAATATTTGAAGTGCAGTCTAACGCTTTTAACACCAGAGATTCAAGAGCAACCTATGAATCATATTATTTATGGTAGTAATTCTGTTTGAGATGATCGACCACACGTGCGAAATATAGAGCAAAAACAGGGCTGTTCTGATATCTGATAAATATTTGCATGCGATAAGATTAAAATTTATTTTTAAATAATCAATGAACTCGCATTAATTGGAATTAAATTTGAATTTTTACCCATTTTTTGCAGCCGTCACATTGAATATAAATGGTTACTCGGAGACCCGTTGGCGCGAGAGGAGTGGTGGAAATACCAGGCGCCGCAAGGCACGACGCACATTCTATGGCCGTGAGGATTATATAGCATCCAAGACGTTCCTTGTGGGTTCCAATTTGAGCAGTAAGTGATCACAGATCTGTCTGCAAATATTGCCTACTAAGAACATCCTTTTCGCCAGGCCAATGCTCCATTGAACCCGGTGTACATGTCTACAACTTCGCCTGCCAGATACCCACAGAGTGTCCCTCTTCCTTTGAGGGAACCCATGGACGAGTTCGCTACATGACGAACGTCATGCTGGTCAGGCCATGGAAATATGATCAGAATTACACGCGCTGCTTCACTGTACTCAAAGTGATGGATCTGAACTTTGACAGTCCCTTGCTGAGGGTGCCTGCACACAGTGAGACCTCGAAGACCTACTGCTGCTGGCCGTGTACCTCGGATCCGCTGGCTCTGCAGCTTACTCTTCCGCAGACAGGATTTGTGCCCGGACAGAATGTACCCCTGAGCGTGCTGGTGACCAACGACAGTCACATTCCAGTGGAGCAACTGATGGTCACCCTAGTCATGTTGGTCACGTATCACAGCAAGCCCCCATCGATGCCGAACTCCACCTTCGAGCGGTTCATCCTGAACACCGTCAAGGGGGATACCGTGGCAAGGAACTGCAAGAAGCTGTTCAACTACGAGCTCAGAGTTCCTGCCACTCCTCCGACGTGCTTCAATCTGTGCGGCCTCATCCAGATCGCCTACCAAGTGGAGGTGGAGGCCCAGGTCAAGGGATGCCACACGAACGAGCAGGTCAGCGTTCCATTGACCATAGGAAGTGTGCCCTTGTCGCAGCACGTTCACATTCAGCCACGTGGCATGCCACAACAGCCACTTGATGCTCAGGGACTGGCCTCCGCTCCGCCAGTAAGCCCCGCCAATCCCTGGGCTGTCGATGATTCCATACGTAAGTTTCTCAAAGAAAATACCATCTTTGATGGAGTTTTACTGGTAAGACTTTCCATTTCAGCTCCTCCCAACTACCAGGAGGCTATCCATATGCGATCTGCTGCTTCTAGCAGCAAGAAAGACGACACAGACGACGATCCAGAGCCAGTACAGCCAAATACTCTCAATCCCGATGGCAGCGTCTACCAGCCGCTCTATCCGGTCTTCGATATACCAAGTCCCACGGCTCCACCTCCTTCCGATTGGACACAGAACTATATGGCCGAAAGGGCCTTTGTGAATCCAGCTGCGGATGCGGACAAAGAAAAGGGAACTTGGCTTTGAAAAGAAGATAACGAAAAGAAAAGAAAACGATCATTCAAAAGCATATATTAGATATTTATACATATATGTGCCGCACTATGTTAATAAAACGAAAAAAAAGAAAATAATTGCCATTAGTGTCCATACAAAATATTTAAAAATTGTTTTCGATTTAAATTTGTAGCAAAATGAATTTTTGTTTCCATAGAAACTCTACTCGTGGCTTACCACGATTGTGACTCTGCAACACTTATAATTGAAAAATATGAAAAGTAAGCAATTCAAACATTGTATACATATCGAAATATTATTCCACGTCTCTGTTCTACGCTCGCACTTCAACGCTTTTGGGCTTCTACATTAATTTTAATGCTAAATTCTTATCAAAATCACTTCAAGATGAAAGATACTTTTAGAAATGTGTCCACTGCCAAGGTCTAACTGTCCAAATGCGATAGCAACGCAAACATCCACTTCTCCAGTCGTTTCCCCTTACACCCTCAACACAACAAAATGCTAACAATTCGCTTAGTGCTTAAACTCTTATACGATTTCCATTCCGGTGTGAGCATGTGAGCACTCTCAAACGGTCACATATCGTGCTCAGAAGTACGATTCGCGCCTTCGGCTATGGATGTCTTATCGCTTATCTTACGAGGCGGTCGCACCACGACCAAGCACCAAGACCCTGTCCAGAAGTTGTGCATTTAATTTAGTCGCAGCCGTTGTTTCGACAGAGTGGCGCGGATCGGTTGCCTCAAGCTAAAATGGTTGTTACGTGCGAGATCAGCTTCGACAATAATAGACATGGCACCTTCTATGCCGGACAGCTGGTGGGTGGCTGTGTAACACTGAAGTCCGACAAACCCAAGGAAGTTCAAGGTACATAAAAGATCCATCAACACATTAATTAAAAATATAATAATAGGAGTACGAGTCCAAGTGGGCCAAGCCTAATTGCGAGAGTTGTTTGCACTGAAAGTGTTTCCATTGTTTAATTTTAGTGCTGATTAGTAAGGGCATTATAAATATTTCCCCGATAACGATACGGGTATATATAGTATGTACTGGCGATGTATATATATAATATGGATTGAGTGTTTTTATGACGACATTGACTTTACTTGTGGAATTCTTTTGGTCTGGGGAATGTGAGAAGTTGATTGATAAGACGCCAAACGGAATATCCAAATTATAAGATTAGAGCGGAAATACTTTTCGTTTTGGCAAGGAGGAAACTCCCATATTAATAGAAAGAACTTTAACCATATCCAAATTTGAATATTTGTTATATAAAGACTCAATTGAGTACATAGGTGGGGCATGGTAACAAACTTACGATTGAAACTAAGTTAATCTCTCTCTCTCAACAGATTATAAACTAGTTGTCAAGATAAACACTTATATTCTCTGTCTCTCTATTCTCTTTGTAGCTATCTTACTCAAGGTAGTCGGCTACTCCATCACGAAATGGAGTGAAAAGAGTCTGGGATCCACCAAGCAGTATGCTGGCAGAGAAGACTATCTATCATCCAATACCTACTTGCTGGGATCAGAGCAAAGTGAGTCATAAAACAATCAGATCTAGATCAACTTATATCTACATATCCTCCGATAGACAACAACAGACACATCATACAGGCCGGGGTGCATAACTACAATTTTTCCTGCCAGCTGCCCTATCAGTGTCCTTCCTCCTTCGAGGGTCGCTATGGCTGCATACGATACATAGTGAAAGTATTGCTAATTCGACCCTGGAAATACGATCAGGCTTATACCACGGGATTCACGGTGCTCAAGATGATGGATCTGAACTTTGAAACCCCCCAGCTTCGGGTAAGTCATGATGATTGTGACGGGGAAATTCAATTTCTACTGCCCCTTCCCCAGTTGGCGGCACACAGCGAGGGATATCGCACCTTTTGCTGCGGTCCCTGCAAGACGGATCCCTTGAAGCTGGAGCTGAATCTTCCCCAAGCAGGTTATGTGCCCGGACAGAAGATCCCTGTCACCGTTGTGGTGGTGAACAACAGCAGTGTGGCCGTCTCCGAGCTGCGTCTCTCACTGGTTATGCTCATCCGCTACTTCAGCCTCAGTCCCGATCACGCACGCGTCGAACGCATCATCATTTCCAGGGCGAAAGGAGATGCCGTGCTGAAGCAGTGCACCCGCTCCCTGACCATTGACCTGCCCGTACCGTCCACGCCACCCACCTGTGTGGAGTTGAGCAATCTCATACAGATTGCCTACCAGGTGGAGGTGGAGGCGCTGGTCAAGAGTCTCCGCGAGGAACAGCTGATGATCATGCCAGTAACGATTGGCACCATGCCCCTGGCCGTATCGGGGATTGTTGTCCAGCAGCCGCCACGCCGAAGTGCTCGCTATGATAGTCCTGCAGATGAATTGCCTGTGGTCACGGCCCTGGGGAGTGTGCCCAACGATTTGACACCCAGAGAGGGGGACACATGTGAGTGCAATGAAAACATCATAATGATTCCTTTACTTATATTCGTTTATCTCCTCAGTCGCTCCGAAATATGAGGAGTCCCGTCACACCCCGCGCGGAAATATCAACGAGGAGGAGATCCATGCCTTTGGCATCAACGAATTTGCTCCCTTGTATCCAGTGTACAGCATACCAAGTCCCACGCCAACAAGCTCAGCGAATGCGGGGAATGCAGGAATCGTAAATCAGAGCTATGAGAAGTAACAGCACAGCCAAGCAGTGAACTGCTTGCCATGAACATCGTTCACTGTTAAGCTTGCACTGTTAGGGTACCACAGCCTGCTGCCTTACACTGTTATTGATGCTTTAGAATTTTTATGGGGGTGTATTCCATGTGGCATATTTAGTACAGAATGCGTGTCTGGTATAACAGAAGTTATAGGGGTTGAAACATTTATATTTTGTTGCTAAGACTCAGTTATAGCAACGTTCATAGAATTGGTTTCGTTAAAAGTGTTATATTTGTACTACATGAAGTTATAACGTTTAAAATTGTTATATTTATTGTAGCCATAGACTTAGGTTTTGTATGGAAAAGTAAACTTTTATATAAACTTGTATATCTGTTGATTGTAAGTAAAATCACATAACACTTTGTCCCAAAAATTACTGTTAAAAATGAACTGCTTTGTAACGGCAGTAAACATCAGACGGAATTCTCTTACAAGCAAAAAAAAAGAGGAATTTAAAATCAGATAGTACCCTTAGAAAGTTCCAAAAGTTCAGGGACATATCATGATTATATTCCCACTCCCACCTACCCTTATTGTGTTTAGTGCAAATGCTTAAATTTAGCCCCAGGCACGCTCAAAAAGCCATCAACCATCCACCGGGGACAATAACAATATTCCGGGCAACGAGAAATAAAGGACCGCCCGAAAAGAGAGCCACGGACATGTTTAGTTTTTATCATTCGCGCATTTGTTAGCAGACCCGTACTTACCCGTCCGCTATCCGCCAACTCCCTGTTTTTCCTGTTTTCCCACACACGACTTTGCAGTTGGTAATCTGTTTGAATGCTCCCTCTCGTAACCTCTCATTTGTTTGCTGCTGGTACCGCTAAACCCCTACCTCTGCTCTTCCTTCATTGCACGGAGAAAGTATTCGCACCTGAAGTGTAAGCGGATTTAATGCAATTGACACTTGGGCATTAAATATTGGAAACAGTTTTGCCAACTTATTAATCAGCTTTATGCAAACTGTGAGTATTATACATGCCCTTAGTCATTCGTTAAGCCCGAGGTTAACGCTAACTACAGTTTCGCAGGAAGGGATCTCAGACATACCAAAGGGAGGGGAATAGTGGATACTCGAGGTTGGTATGCGTGTTTTGGCCACGTTACCAGGTTGTAGCGGAAGTCAAATCGAGTTAAGCAAATACGCTGTACCCTAATGGCGGCATTAAGTAATTTCCAACGCGCCGAATGCCCCATCGGCGGAGGAGCCCCAACGGCGCTCCTCTGTCTGGCCTGGCTGGTCTGGTCTGGTCTGGTTTGCTCTGCTCTACTCTGTCGGCCCTCTTGCATTTAAATGGCTTACTCAATGGCATTTTCGTGGTAATTGGCATTTGGCTTTGGCATGTCCGAGTGCCAAACTCAGGGCTAAACTAAATGCATAACCAGTGTGCGGGATTCTGTTGCTGTAAATGTATTTTCCATGGCATTAACAGCTCTCTAGCTACATTTCTGTCGTTTGCTTGTTTTTCGGTTTGTGTGGAAACTGGAAAAACAGAAAAAGCAAATTAGTTGAGATTATGCCCCAAGGCGGCAAAGGGAATGGAATAACATACAGAATCGTTATAGGAAATGTTTGAAAAAATAAATAACAATTTTAAGGGTTCTGGCACACGAAACATTGGCAAGTTTTGTGCCATGAGCAAATCCCTCGGCAATGCTAAGTTCTTTTTTATTTTATAATTTAATTTATTTGAAATGTCTGTTTTAAAAGCCATTTATTCATGTGTCAAGTGCCAGCAATTGATTCTGCCGCTCGTTTGAGCTGCTTTCGCTTATTTTGCCGCATCTAATGGATTATAGATACTTTTGCTTTACGTGGCCATATAGCAATACAGATAGACATGTTTCGGGACCAATTTGCTGCTGTCCAAGTGTGCGTTCCACTCTTTGGGGTTACATGGAGCAGACACAGCACATAACCCAGAGAAAAAAGCGAAACAAAATTAGCATTTTTTGCTTCGTATATTCGATTGGTGTTCGTTTGGGGCTTGGCTACATCTTTTTCCGTTGGCTTCCGTTTCCTGTTGGCTGGGTTTTTGTTTCGTGCTTCACTCTCAACGTGTTTTTTGTTTATCCCGATGCTTTGCACCTTTGCGCCGTGCCACAGAGGGCGTTCATACGAGTGCGAGTCCTACAGTTTTGTTCCTTTACTTAGCTCTGACTCTGCGGCTGTGTGTGCTGCGGCTTTCACGGGTATTTCACTGCTCGGTGCGCACTGCCTGTGCCACACTTACAGCATCCCGACAACCATGCAACTTCCTACCACCCTGCCATACCGCTATATCCCTGCCATATCCTGACTGTTGTAGGTTCTGGCTGGCACTTCAACAATCCTAT